CCCCCCCCCAAAAAAAAAGACCTTAGTTGTACAGGAAGCCAGGTTGAAGAAGACTTGGTTACCCTTCTCCAGTTTTCAGTCTTTATTAGTCTTTAATAAAACCTGTTGGTCTGTTTCTTTTGCCATTCTGCTCTTTATTCATACTCATGTACTTGAACTATTTCCTTACATAAGGGGTGAGTGGGAATCAAACTAAATAGTCCTTAAGGAAACTGTGATAATGAATTGGTAGATTTCATTCACCTGTTTTAAATATGTTCTTGGTGCTGGGTGTTGGTGACTCATGCCTGTCATCCTAGCTACTCAGGAGACTGAGATCTGAGAATCACAGTTCAAAAATAGTCCAGGAAGGAAAGTATGTGGAATTTTTTTTTTTTTTTGTCAGTCGTGGGACTTGAACCATCTGAGCCTGGATGCTGTCCCTCAAACTCTTTAGCTCAAGGCTAGCACTCTACCACTTGAGACACAGAGTCAATTCTGATTTTCTGGTAGTTTTGGCTACTCAGCCTCCTGAGTAGCTAAGATTACAGGCATGAGCCACCGATGCTTGGCTGTGAGACTCTTAAATTATCACAGAAAAAACTGGAAGTGGAGCTCTGGCTGCTAGTCTTGTGCAAAAGGAGCTCAGGGACAGCCCCAGGACCAGCAAAAAACAAAAAAACAAAAGAAGTGTTTATGGGCTGGAAGTTATAGAGCGCCTGCCTCTTACTCACAAGGTCCCAAGTTCAAATCACAGTACTGCTAAAAACTCAGTATAAAACAAAATATAAGCTGGGTGCCAGGAGCTTATGTACTCCAGAGTCCAAGAGCTGAGCATTGCAATTCAAAGCCAGCCATGCAGGAAATTCCATCAGGTTCTTATCTCTGGTTCTGATTAGCTATCTAAAAGCTGGAAGTGAAGCTTTGGTTCCATTGGCACAATACTAGCCTTGAGCCAAAACCTCAGGAACAGCAGGCTAGCCCTCCGTTCAAGCCCTGGGACTGACACATACATATACAGAAAGACATGCAAATGTAGTTTTGGTTTATAGCTATTTTCCAATGATTTAAAAAATTGTATAGTTATAGGTCTGTGCTAATGAGCACAAAGTGAATGAAGATATAATATTTGACAATGAAGTATAAAGGAAAGTGTGATAATGGTATAATGGAACAGTCTTTTGTACACTAATGAAAATATATAGACATTAATCTAAAGTAGAACATTAATTAAGATGTTAATGATAATCTGTAGGGTAATCATTAAGAAAATAAATCAAAATTATATAGGTAAAAAAAGGAATTAAAGTAATATGTTAGAAAATATCTCAAAGAAGGTACTAATGGTGGAAGTGAGGAAAGAGATATGATATTGAGCACAATAACAAATAAAGCCTTCACTGTATATGCTAATTAGTATTTGATTAGATTAAACTTCAATTAAAAGGCAGAAAATGTTTTCTTGCTGTGTGTATATGTGTGTGTTTATGATTAAATGACTAACAAGTATGTGGGCCTCATATTTGTTAGAAAAGCAGTTTATCCCTTGAGGTATACTGTAGCCCAGAATAGATTTTTAAAATATACAATCCCACTTTGTGCTGTCAACAAAAACCACACTTTTGATTCAAAGTCACAAATTGGTTGAAAGTAAAATGATGGAAAATATATACAATGCAAACAGTAACTAAAAGGGAGCTGGGGTGTGTATGAGAGATTAGGTGGATTTAACACTAAAATTATTACTAGGGACAAAGGTGAGAAGTACATAATGGTAAAAAGCACAATCCATTAAGGAGATAAAATAACTGTGAACATATATGCTCCCCACCCCCAATAAAACAAAAATGTCCAACCAAGTTTGGTAAGAGTGGTTCATGTCTAAAGTCATAACTACTTGGGTAAGAGCAGAAGGATCACAGTTCATGGCCAGCCTGGGTAGACAAACAGATAGCTAGGCACCATTGGTTCACACCTGTAATCCTACTACTCATTAGGCTAAGTAGAAAGGTAGACAAGGTAGGCAAAAGAGCTAGACCAGGCAGGAAAGTCCATGAGACTCTTATCTTCAATTAACCAACCAAAAAGCTGGAAGTGGAGTTGTGGCAGACCACTACCCTTGAGCAAAAAAGCTAAGGGACAGTGTTAATGGCGTCACAAGTGGCAGAGCACCAGCCTGTCCAGTATAAGGCCCTGAGTTTAAACCTTAGTTTATATAAACAACCAAAGTTGAGACTGAATGTGTTGTTACAGGCCTGTAATACCACCACAAACAGGAGGATTATGAGTTTGAGCCTATACTGTGTAACATAATGAATTTAAGTCTAGTCGGCACTACATAGAAAAAGTGTGCCTCAAAAAAATCATGCATAATAGTGTTGAAAATAATATATTACTTGAGAGTAATTACATTCCTTGATACCCACAACAACTTGTACATCAGTCATGTACAAGTTCTACAAAGTGAGGTTAAAAAGAGAATTTCACGGGCTGGGAAAGTGGTTCAGTGGTAGAGCGCTTGCCTTGCATGCATGAGGCCCTGGGTTCGATTCTTCAGCACCACATAAACAAAAAGAAAAAGCCACAAGTGGCATTGTGGTTCAAATGGTAGAGCGCTAGCCTTGAGCTGAAGAGCTGAGGGACAGCACCTAGGCCCAGAGTTCAGGCCCCACAACCGGACCCCCCCCCCAAAAAAAAAAAAGAAGAGAGAATTTCACCTGGAGTCGATAATGCCCTTCTGGCCACTGAATATCATAGAAATTTTGTTTTATTTTATTTTTTTGAGGCAGAGTCTTGTTATGTAGCTCAGGCTGGCCTTGAGCTCTAGATCTTCCTGCTTTGAGTGCTAGGATTACAGGTACGTGCCATCATGCCTGATAAACAGAATATTTGAGTTGAAAGGGAATAAAACCCATACTTGTTGAAGGCAATCAGGAAAGTGAGTATATGGAATCAGGATAGCTCAATGTTTAATCCATTGATTTTATTTTTTTGTGCCAGTACTAGGGCTTGAACTCAGGCCCTGAGTATTCTCTCTTAGCTTTTTCACCCAGGGCTAGTGCTCTACCACTTGAGCCAGATCTCCACTTCTGAATTTTTTGTTCGTTAATTGGAAATAAATCTATGGACTTTCCTGCCCAGGTTAATTCCAAACCAAGATCCTCAGATCTTAGCCTCCTACATAGCTACGTAGCTAGCATTACAGGTATGAGCCACCAGCACTGGCTCCTAATTTTTTTTCTTTTAATACATAGCTCAACATCAACATTTCTGTTCCTCAAAGGTTTCTGTTACCCACAGCAATTGACAAGTTCAGAGGTATATACTTCTTAAAAAATAAAGTTCTGGCTGATTGAGGAACGTGCCTATGGCATATTGTCAGGGATTATTTCTGCTTCAACATAAGATAGTGACACTGAGTGCTCCCTGGAAGGTTTGGTGTTCAACTTTGCTCTTTGCAGTTCTGTCTCATTTAAAAGCAGTTAGGGACTTATTCAGCAGTTGAGAAGGAATGAATGTTAACTTTATAAGTGAATTCCAAGGACCAGGTACACATATCAGAATAGCATCATTGGTTCTCATGATGATGCCAATTTGAACGGTACTTGTCTGGTGTCTGTTGTACTTGCCAAAGATCAGGACCAAGGAAACAAGAGCCTGTCAAATGTAAGTCATATGAATCTCCTAGCCTTGTGTGTTTCCTCATAAAAAAAGGAAAAAAAAAAAGATCTTAAAGATATACTCTTTCAGGCTGGGAATGTGGCTTAGTGGTAGAGTGCTGGTCTCGCATGCATGAAGCCCTGGGTTCAATTCCTCAGTACCACATATACAAGAAAAAACAGAAGTGGCCCTGTGGCTCAAGTGGTAGAGTACTAGCCTTGAGCAAAAGAAGCTCAGAGACAGTGCCCAGGCCCTGAGTTCAAGACCCAGAACTGGCCAAAAAAAAAAAAAAAGGGGAAAAAAAAGATACACTTTTTAGAGTTAATATAGTCCTCATACCCAGCTAACCAATAAGGTCTTATTTAACAAACATTTATCTTCTATTTCACTTACAATTGGTGTAAAAACTGCATTCCATGCCATGCCTCAAATGTTCCAAAGCTCAGTTCTGTGAGTAAGTTGCAACCAAGATTTCTACCAAAAAACAACAACAATAATAATAAGCCAAAGAAAAAGAAGAAAAAAAGATATTCTTTCAGAACATTTATCACTTCACAGTGATTCTAATTCGCTTATGATGAAACATACTTCAATACTTCCCCCAGGCTTTAAAAAAATCTTACTGTAAAAGATACTTACGATTTACATTTTTCATATTTACATCAGTGTCAAATAACATTTATGTAGAAAAAGTTTTGTAGCCGGGCACAGGTGGCTCACACCTGTAATCCTGTGTACTCAGGAGGCTGAGATCTGAGGATCGCGGATCAAAGCCAGCCCGGGCAGGAAAG